CCCACCTCCACCCCCCGCCTCTCTCTCAACCCGCCGCTCCCTTTTGCTCTCTTCCCTCTGTCTCCCCTCTCACCCGCGTGGCGTGGAATCTGCCACCGCCTCTCCTTCTTCTTCTGTGTTTATCCCGGGCCGCCTCGCTCCTCGTTTGCCAGCGGAAATGTGACATGTCATTTTATGCAGAGCAAATCTCTGCTCATTTGACTGGGACGCGCATATAATTGCGGTTTCACAGGCAAACATACGTACATGAATAAAGATGACGGGAAGAAGATGAAAGGACTTAACAGGAAATTTAATAAAGCGAGCATCTAAGAATTTCATTTTCCGGTGATATTTACACACTCGCCATTGGGTACACCTGCAAAATCAAATGAGATTTAATACAAGACTTGTATCAAAAAGTCAACTTTTGATTGACACCGTCAGAAAGATTCACACAGTCCAACAAAACGTTTGATATTAAGGCCCTTGAAATTATTTTTACTTTTGTTATTATTATTATTTCCTGAAATGAATCGCATTTTGAGGGCCTAAATATGCACCAAAACTCAACAAACTGCACACATCAGGCCACGCAAAACGTACACAATTACAAAAAATATCCCTACTTTTGCATTCTTGTACTACATATTTCATCCGACTGACTTCAAAACTGGTCTTTACTATCTCAAGACCTGGGACATTAAAGAGGATAGCAATCTGGAGTTTTTGACACACTCTGACAGGGGGCGGAGTACCAAATGTTACGTTTCAAAATCTTTGCCCATAAAAGAGGAAATTAATAACTCCTCTGTACACGCTCCAAAAATTCTCAAATTTCATGTGCGGATTTTCACGGACTGAAATGTTTTTGTAATCATGTAAGCGCTGCATTTGTTAGTCGTCCAGGACTAGTCAATATTACACTTCAGCCCACTGAGACTACTGACTTGTGACTAGTTTACAGTTGCAGCGAGAGCAGGAGGAGCAAATTTTACACAGGACACGGCAAGTGTGAATGTTTGTGGCCTAAAGGATCACATTCACAAGCAATGGAGTCATAGCAAACTCAGTCCAAAGCTGTATTGAGACAAAAACTTAAGATCCAGCGTCAATTAGTACATCCCACATGAGGTTCGTGTGCAAGGCTGGTTGTTCGACCAAGCGTGTACAAATAGGCGTGTTTGCGTGGATGTATGCGATACAGCAGGTTGTACTGTATGTGTCACATTGGGATGTGTGGGTGTGGTGTGAAAATCAGCTAGGTGTTATTGTTCGGTCATTTTGGGCTTTACGTAATCGCGCTCGTTCGCCTCCTGGATGGTGAGAAAAGCCGTTTTGGAAAGATCTGAAAACCCCTCATGTAAATATCGTGAGCCATTACATCTAATAGAGGTAAAAAATAATGATCATAATAATTCATCGAGTCGAACATCCGCGTGGTAGAGTGTGAACTGCCCTCGCTCATAACCTCTGCTCTAAATCACCCAAATTGTGCTTGGAGTTGATGTCATGCTTTTCGACGCCAAACTCGCACAACAGTGCTTATATGGTCCTTGCTTTGTGCACTGTGGCAGTCGCGCTGGAACAGAAATTCAGCTGTCATCACAACAAGCAGCAGTTTGGCACACAGTGAGCAGTTCTTCAAAAAGCAGGCATCGAGCTGTTTAATGCCACTCCCAGTCGAAGTTGACTGTCTGTCAAAAAAAAATTAATTTAATTAAAAAAACAAGAAGATGATTACAGATTGTGTATTTAAAACAACCACAATGCCTTAGGAAAGTCTGCTTAGCTTAATGCTAACAAATGATACAAAACACTATAGAGTGGCTAACGGATAGCGTCTGTGTCACAATGTTAAAACGCTATAAGCAATGGTTATTTGAACACAAACGCTAACACGCGCAACTACCGTAGACAGTCAAGTGAGCCATACTCGGGCATATTTTCGTTATCCTCTGCGAAACGTGACTTATTTTACTGCAGCTGACTGAGCGTAGTTGTGACCGCCTCTGTGTATTTCCGAATGCCTGTATTACACTGCATCGAGGTGGCTAAGCACAGCAGAAGGACCCTCACAGTCATTGAATTAATCATCATGCACTTATTTTATTGGTACATCCCATTATCTTATGATTATTTTGTTTTCTAAGGTACGATATTATAGCGTGTTATTTTCTTTATGAAAAACCTGCTCAAAATATTTGTCAGGGTCTGCTTGGAAAGGCCTGAACAGATTACAATACCGGTAAGGGAATTTCCTTACATTTCAGTTGAGAAAGATCATTTTTAGATCTAACGTGATTGGAACATCAATCAGAGTGGAATGTCCCTCTATTATGGCTGGACATGTGCTCCTCGCAGTCAGCCGACCGCAAGCCAGGTGCCACCTTCAAAAACACTAATGGCTTCGGTAGAGTGAGTGTCTGAGTGATAACAGAGCTCAGTTGGCCGTTAACTGTCTCCGGCGCGTGTCCCTTGGAAGACAACACTCCAAGTCCTGTTCTGACATCCCCAGCTTTGACCTCACGTCTTTATATGCCTTCTCATTCGTGTTGTCGTCCACGGCTGTTTGGTATGACCCACAAGGCTTCGGGGGACGTTACAATTAATCTTACTGTCACTGTTTTTATTTGTTTCACATTTAAGTCTGATTGTGTAAATGTCAGCATGATATTTGGGAGCCCGCGGGAGCCTTTTTCTCCTTCCGTTATCGCTGAATCGGAGGTGCAGCGGCTGGATTTACAGAGGTAGCTCCAAATGCGAGGAAAAAAAAAAATCTAAGGAGGTTGGTGTATGGATGGGGCAATTCACGCAAGGCTACCAACTCAATGTAGAGCGAGCAAGAAAGAAAGGGTGGAGGTGAGGGATGGATTCGGTTTCCTTGCTGCATCCTGGGAGATGTGCTTGCATGTAATACAAAACTATCCGTCAATATCCAGTCATTCCCAGCTCCTCTTTCGGCTTTCAGAGTGTGAAGGGCAGCGTGATCTTTTTCTTTCAAAAGACTTCACTTCACTTCACGTCTTAATGATTGTATTCAAAGCATGATTCTCTGAAAGTTGGGAGTTATCAATTTCTGTATTTGTTGGCACTCGTCAACGTGTCAGAAGAGAGTAGACAAATATGCAGAGGATAATGCAGGCTGAGCACAGCTATGATGCAATGTTTCTCATTAAAATAATTTTTTTTAAAGTTTGTGCAGCTTGTTTTTACTATTTTCGGTTTGAACCAAGAGAAGGAGGAACATATCCCTTTCTATTAAAAAAATCTAATAAAAATGTGACCACTTTGGATCGGTCTGCCTTGTGCAAAATCACCACAAACAAACCAAGAAAAAAACCCCGTCACAAAATACTTTTTGTGCTTTCTTTTTTTGAAGGATCTTAGATGCTATTTTTATTGGAAGGTAGTTACTTGGGCAACACTAACTTTTTATTTTCGACCAAGGGTAGTCGTCGGTATCTGTATTTCTTTTAATAGCACAGAAGGAGCGTGCATTTTGAAAAGGGACGTTTCAATCTGTCATAAGTCCCATTGTCTACTTTGATGTACAAACATTAACAGATCTGCTTGGCCGTTATTTTTCCGAGACAGAGTATTTTCAGTTCCTTAAAATGCAGCTTTTTTTTCCTGGTATGGTGGTTGCACTGTATCACTCGGGGGCTGTCCAAACTTCAACGGATTTCTGTTTTCCTTGAATGCACTTTCAAGGTGAATGATAACATGATTACAAATTTTTTTAGGTTCCTTTTTTTGCAGCATGGATGTCCTGGTTAGGGTTTTTTTTTTTTTGGTGTGTGTGGTTTTTTTTGGGGTGGGGGGGGGCGGGGTATTATAAATAAATGATGACCACAAAGCCCAAAATTTTGATTTCATCATATGGGTTGTTCTTTGTCCTTCTGCATTTTTGAACAGAAACTGGTGTAACCCTCCCAAGGCTAATCGTTCTCATCTTCTTTCCCAGGTGACATTTACAAAGCGAAAGTTTGGCCTAATGAAGAAAGCCTACGAGCTGAGTGTGCTGTGCGACTGCGAGATCGCCCTGATCATCTTCAACAGCACCAACAAGCTGTTCCAGTACGCCAGCACAGACATGGACAAGGTCCTGCTCAAATATACCGAGTACAACGAGCCCCACGAGAGTAGGACCAACTCGGACATTGTGGAGGTGAGTGGCAAGTCAACACAAATGCACGTGCGCCGCCCGCCCGAATGCACTGAATCATGCACGGAAACACGCAAACACACCAGATGGTTGTGACTCATTACTTCTCTTTTTGTCTTCACACTCAACACTGAAAGGAAAAAAATGTATGTTAAGTTCTGCTTAGACCACATTTAAAAAGAAACAAAGCTGTAGTTACATAAATGGCAAAGTGCCTGTATTAGCAAATGGTACAGCAGTTTAGTTCAGCACCGTGTGTTTAGAGTCCAAGATTGTAATACTTTCCAAGTTGCAATGGGTGCCCACTCACAAAGCAATGCGGGCAAATGCTAGGAGTGCCATGGCCTCCAGGGGGCGCCAGAAAATGAAAAAAATATCAATTCATCCTGTTTTTATATTTCAACCAGTTATTGCTTTTAACTCTTAAAATCATCCAGCTACCCCATCGTCTTTTAGCACATTGTACTGTTAAAATCGATGACTTTCTTTGAGCCATCAGTCTGAACGTAGTCTGCTATAACTATCAATAAAATGATAGATGAAGTTTTATATTTTTGTTGCTGTATGCAATTCAAAATGGGATTAAACATATGAGCCTTTTCCATTGATTAATTTAATTTTCAGTGCATTTCATTGGCCGTCAATTATCCGTGCATATTCTCTATATGCAATTGTACCTTGTCTCGGCACCCACTCATCGAGATTGAGTCCAAAAAAAGTGCAACTTTTGATTTTAAAAATTGCACTTTAGCTGTACTGCCTGGTGGAAAGTGTGCCTTTACGTGACCGTGCTGTCACCATTGATCTGGCTCTCAGAGTTGGAGACGGATCTAAAACAGCGGACACGTGTCGCTAGCGTGGCTGCCGACAACTGTAAACATTGTTGTCAGGGCAGCTAGTGAGCAGGCAGATAAAACAGTGAATGACGCCGGTGCTTTACAAAATCCTTAAGCTCTCGACATGAACCTGTTATGCAACAATCGCACCGGAGTTCTGACCGACCTGGTGGGAAGAGTTGATCCCATTTTCTTTTGCACACGCGCATGTAACCTCTCGTGCCATGCGCTCTGATCAAACTGCACTAGAATAATATGTTCTTTTTTTTCTTTTTTTACCGAAGTGACATGCATTTTACCTGAAGCAAAAATAATCGCTCCATTGCCTCAACACATTTTAGATGAGTAATTCATGTGCTGAAATCAAAGGAGCACTTGTCTTCTTCCCAATTATTTTTTTATGCAATTTGTTACCCACATTTAGTATTTAATTAACAGACACCTGATTAAGCCATCATTTTCATTTATTTGTCCCACCCGATGACAAATTAGGTATACCGGTCTGAAATTGTTGGCTCAGAATTTAAGAAGACAAGATGTACTGAAGCCCAATGAAATGTAATGAAGGAATAGTCAAGGCCCACACGCACCTATGGATCAGGCTGGGCAGCCTAATACAGGAGCCCACAGCGTGGGACATGTTTTTATCTCTTCATATGGTTGTTACTGGGCTCGATGCCCAAACACGGGTGGACAGGTCCACTGGGAGTATTCCCGCTTCTCCAGATGGCAAACCTCCCCTCACTAGCGAACCTTTTCGGTTTGCACATTTGCATCAAATGCCTCCTGGAAGGGAATTGGCGTTGCGTTATTCCGACGACACCATTCGAAAGAAATCGATATAGTGGCTGGGATGCAAACTTCACAGTAGCTTGCTCGTGTTACGATTTGCTCGGCTTCCCATTTGTTGCCGTCAAATGTGTTAAGGTAGCTTGTACGCTAGCCGGTACGACAGTTAGGATATGGGCTGACCTTGATAATTAAATCAACGAGAACGGACTGGGTGTTTTATTTGGAGGCACCCGCTTGTGTTACAAATTTAAAGCTCGCCGTTCACACGGTGTTTCATTCTTCCCTTATGAAGCTTTTGTGATATAAGTAGAATAGTACATGCAGTGGAATTCTTCATCCGTGCCTGTCCTACATTCCGATGATCACAAATGTACTGTATGTGAATTGTAATTCTTTGCGAAATAACCTTATAAAATTGCATCTAAATCGGTCATGCGTTCCTTACATTAGGCCAATTTGTCCGTGGGCGATTCTGCATTGAATATGGGCCTTCAGTCACTGTATCGTCGTCCGTCTGACCCTACTGAACCAGACGTTTCAACAAGTGCCCGTGACGCTACATCTCCGCTTCGATACTCTCTGTAACCGTGTCTCCTTTATTGAGCCGAGGATGGTTAACGTATAAACAGCCGTGTCAGGAATGATGTTGAAGAGCCAAGTGGGGGCTGGGGTGCAGGGATAAAGCTGCAAAGCGCTACCAGCACAGGGACCCCCTGAGGTCCTCGCTCCAAATCGATGCGATGAGGCCTCCGCGTGCTAACGGGATTGGCCACAGGGCTGACACGGGCACGTTTAGCGCGGATGCAAGCAGGGTGCAACGAGTCGGAGGGGCGGGGGAGGGAGGCGAACATGGGTCAGGACCCTCCAGTGGAGCCTTGGATGCTGCCTGCTAAGCTTTGTCAAAGTTCATGAATGTGGGCGGGTTGCTGGGTCAGGGGGAAGACAAAGCGTATTTCGTGTTGTTGAAAAACAAAAAAAAGGCTCAACAATAATATGAAAGGTAAATTCGAGCAACGTCCTCTAAAATCGAGGTTTGCGCACGGCGGAAGTGTCACGCTCAAATCTGGCTTTAAATGCGCAATGTCTTGTTCCGAATTTGTAAAGCGCGTTTGCCTTCAGAAGTATACAGAAAGGCTTCCTTCTCCCTCTGATGCTGCTGTGCCTGAAGGTGTAGTGGGAGGGAGGCGAGGCAGAGGTAGGGGAGCAGAGCTCAGCGTGGGCGGCCGGCAACGAGGCCCGCTACATTAGCAATAAAACTCTATGTAATTAGCATGTCTTTGGTTGCTAATTAGCGTTGTTGAGAGAGTGCCACTGAGAGTGCTACACAGCCTCTGCAGCTACTGTATGTTTACAAGAGGCTTCAGGGCTTTTTCTTGTTTTTTTTTTTTTAAAATATACAGTGAACATGCTACATCTCAGTGAGATGATTTTCCAGTAGGTTGACACGATGTTTGGGTCAAATACATGATTGTGATGCATAAAAGAAAGCCTACAGAGCGGACTTCAATACATTTCCACACCAAAATCACATTGAACGTACTTTCCGTCAAACCTCGGTGATCGAACACAATCAGTTCAGATTTGGTTACAAATGAGAGGGGGAAAGAAAATGTATTCCAAAACCACCTTTGTTGCTTATCAGCGTCGCCGACTGTCAAAGAAAATTAAAACAACAAGCGGTAAGCCTTTGATGCTCACTCAACTGAAGATTCAGAAGGTCTTGCCGAATATGCGGACATCTCACATGACATCATGCATCGGATTTTTGAACTTGAGATTTCATCTTACATTTGCCGAATTGCGAATTGCACAATCAGACTTGTGCTTAACACTTCAAACGAGCCAAACGAATCCCGAGCCTCTTGCAACCTTGTTCGACATCGTAGGTTGCGCACTTTGAATTAAAACACAAACTGTGAACCAACCTTGCGCTCTGCCCGGTCGGTTTCATGGGCATGTGAGTGACAGAGAAGAAAATGGAAAAGCACGGAAAAAACATCCACCTTTGCTTTTCCTTCTCTCTCCAGTCACATAGGCGACATTATTTGGCAGTGGGGGACTCGTTAATTGCGAGCGCAAATCAAAAAAAGTCCTTTGGTTCTGCTCCCGATGATTGCAGTACCTGCAAACTCTCCACGTGATTGCTTGCCACTTTAAAATGCAGCAACACGTTTTGTGCGCCAAATCCCTGATGGACAACGAGGTCGTTTCAGCTCTCGGTGTTGGAATGTTTTTGAAAATACTAAATGTCGTGCGCGCTCCCTGCATGATCGTGGCAATTGGCTTCGCCCCTGCAGAACGCATTTGATGACCTCGGCAACAGCAGCCGTTCCCATGCCGTTGGCGAAAGCTTCACATGGCGTGGTACATGGCACTCGGCGCTAAGCTGACCTCTCCGCCTTTTGACCATACCTGTCAGAAGACAGGCTGCCAGCCAATCCCATTCCAGCGGCTTAATCTAATCTGAAAATTCAGCTCTCCTCGTAATCTTCGACAGCAGCGGGAGCGAGCGCATGCTCGGCTTCCTTACCTCACCCTCCCTGCCTCGTTTTCTTCTCCAGCTCAGCGCTCACCTCGGAGGACGTATTCCATGCAAAAAGGGGAAGTGGGGAGGTGTGGGACAGAGGGATGGATGAGTGTGAGCAAAGGAGGAGGGAGGGGAAAGAGGGATGGCGGGAGGAAGGCTGGTAATTATTTCCAAAGGTCATTCTGTTAATGACTACCCGCTCGGCTAATGAGATTCAGCAAAGCTCCCTGGCCATGTTTCACCCGGCGTATGTTTCACCGATGTGCCAAGATGTGTGCGAGGCACAGGTGTGTACTCGGGGCCCGTGCGGCGACGGTCGACTGCAGCAGGCGGTAAAGTAGCAGGAAAGTATGTCTACAAGGCAATTAAAAGAACAAACACGTCGCCTTGTAAAAAAAAAAAAAAAATACGACATAGAAGCCACTAAAAACGCTCGGCGGACAGTTCATGAGGTACCCGTGCGCAGTGGAATAATGTCAAAAATGCCATTGTGATAAACAACGCTCAAATCCACGTTGATTGTAGCGTTGTGACCGGATTAATAAGCTCTATTTCGACACCACCAACTACAACCACGTCAATACGCGTGTCAAATTAATACCTCTGTGGGCTTCATTTAATTTTGTAAAGGCATTGCACTTGGTTAGGCTCTCATTAGATTTTGCAGCAGATGTGGCCAAGGCGCTTCAAGATATATTCCATTAGAAGCAATTCTATACCGTATACATTAAATGTACATTAACTCTCTTTAGCAAGTCAGCAGTGGGACATGTGACCTCCCTCTCAGAAGTGGCAGTGTGCTCATGTTCCGCCTCGCGCTTGCGAAAATATTTTCCGGCATGTGTGCT